CCTCCTGCGAGCTTACTTTCCCAGCAACGACGCCTGCCTCCCTTTTATGTAGCCACGCGCAATTACTCGAATCTCATCGCGTCGTCAGCATCCATTTAAACGCCAGAGAATAATAAATCTCGTACATGTTATTCTTCGTCCTCGTGCGACATCCGTTCGGCCGTCTAGCCTAGCGGCTACTACTTTTACGAGGTATAGCGGTTCTTTGGGAAGACTGGCTTCGAGGGGTCCAGCAGACGCAGTGGTCAGGTAGAGCCAGTCGGTAGGTAGAGTATATCCCAGGTGTGGGTGCTATACGTCGTGAGGCATCAGACAAGTGAGGTAGGCAGGCATAACAGGCATAGCAGGCAGGCAGGCAAGGCAGACCAGCTAGTCGGTCGGCGGTTGCTCCACCCCCGTGCGACACGATCAATACGCGACTACTCTCTCGCTCTTGGTGACTCTCTCACTCTCTCCCAGGTCTCTCTGGCGCGCGCTCCACACGGCGTACCGTAGCCGCTCCGTAGTCAGCAGCAGCCAAAGCCGCTCGGTTGTTCGTTCGTTTCGAAGCGGTCTTTCTGTTGCTATGCCGGCTTCCCTCTCGTTCCCTCAGCCACCTCATCCTCTTTTCTCTCTCTCTCTCTCTCTCTCTCTCTCTCTCTCTCTCCACGGCACTCGCACTCTCCTGTCCCCTCTCTCTCTCTTTCTCCCGTCGGTACCCGTAGACCCGTGCGATTCTATCCTCCCATGCCGGCGGCCGTCGTCCTGCAGGATACCTCCTGGCCCGTCCTAGTGCTCTGTCGTTCCGGACGGCTCCCGAATCCTCTATCGCCAATCCACTGCCACTCACCCTTCTCCACCTATAGCGAGCAACCAGGCGCCCAACGAGACACTGAACGGCGTCGTCCCGACCTCGGGATTTGCCTCCGATCACTCGTCGAGGAAGTTGTTCCGAAAAATGGCCGATCTCGTCAGCCCCCCGAGGCTGCCTCGTACCGTACGCGACACCGGCATACTGTAAAGAGGAACCTATCCTCCTCGTACCATTTACACTCCTGCTTATTATACCGTCACGGCATTCGCAAAGCACAGTAGCACGACGTTATACTTTTATATGGTAATATCTCACTTGTATTTGTTTTTCCACCTTGCAGACCCCGCATGCTTTATTCAGCGTGCGTGGGAGGCCAGGCATTTTTCCCTAGCCGTTGTCAGCGCAGCTATATCTTAACCCGCGTGGCTCCGTGGCACTCGCCCGCGCTCGAAAGGCCCGCGCGGCCCAGACGCTGCTCTAAAGTTACTAGACTTCGTATTCCTAGGACTTTTCCCAGCGTCTCGGACACACGCCGTACGATCGCCGATAATGCTTACCAGAGCCGCCTTAACCTTTGGAACGAGGATGCGTTTTTGTTAATACCCAACGGACGTTATTCCTCGCTTGGCCCGTCAGTCGTGGATTGCATGTCCCAGGGACCCGACTATCGCTTGGACGCATATTGCATTACCGAGCACGTTTAAGCGTTACCGGCCCGACGACCGCGCCAGTATACCCACAGTCCCCTTTATGCCAGTGGGCTCATTATTCCTATTTCTCGACCGTCTAGGTTAAGCGGCCACGCGTATTTACATCGTCGCGTCATGCTAATGCTCACGATTTCACGTCTCGACGTAATCGCACGCGCGCGCTGAAACGTTAACAGGCGAACGACGTAGCGCAGGCTTTCCAACGACGGTTACCCGGCGTGCATCAGGCGCGCATTTTCACCACCGCGCTCAAGCGACCAGCCG